GGGCGGGGGGCGGCAGTCGGGACCCTGACTATCCCCCCCATTTCTCACACCCGTGTGCCCGGTCCCAGCCGTCATGTCGGAGAAGCGCCACTCGCGGGTGGCAGCCCCCATGGCGGCGGAGGATGGGCTCCTGCTGCTGCAGAGCCAAGCGCTGGCCGAGGAGGAGGAGGCCAAGACGAAGGGGGAGATGCTCACCCGGTTCCTGAAGGTGCGGGGGGGGCCGGGGCGGGGGGGGCGTTGGCAGCATATTACACCACATGCCGCCCAGCCCCTGTTCCATGTCCTCACCGCTCATGGCCCCCGTGCAGGACAAGCTGGCCAAGGAGGAGCGCAGCAGCACCCTGAACCTCCACAAGCTCAGGACGCAGTGGCGGACGGTGTTGCGGGAGGTCAAGGATAAGGAGCTGCGCCAGGACATCGAGATCCTCAGCCAGACATTTGCGCGAGTGATGGACTGCAAGGACAGCGTCATCGAGGTGAGCGTGGGGCTGGTGGGGTGGGGGTGGCACTGGGGCTCACCGATGATCCCCCCATGCAACTTCCACAGTCTCTGGCCACAGACCTGGAGGAGGCGGAGGAGCAACACGCCCAGGCCCTGCGCAGCCACCTGTACAACATCGACCGCCTGCTGCAGCTCCAGCACTGCCGCCTGACGTGCCTGGAGGAGGGGTACGGCGCCCAGCTGGAGGCCCTGAAGATGGAATTAGAGGCTGAGAGGTATGGGAGTTTGAGGCTGAGAGGGGAGAGAGACAGCAGTGGCACCTGCTGCCTATCCTGTCCTGGTGCTGAGCCCTCTCACAACCCGGTCAGGACTGTTGTGCCTTCCCTCTGTCAGCAGCTCCCCCGTATTTTCCCCAGGAGGACCATCCTTGAGCAGCACGAGCAAGAAAGCTGCTATCTGCGTGACGTGGCACTGGCCACAGAGCAGAATTACGCCAAGAACAACCACGAGGCCACGCTGAATTTCCAGAGTGCCCGTGATGACATCAAATACAAGGCACGGGGAGGAACTGCTGAGGAGCCTTTTAGGGCTTGTGAGCAGAGCACACGGCGAGGTTTGGGAGGTGATGGGTCACCCACACCTGTGTCTGTCCCCAGAGCCAGCAGGAGAAGCAGTACAGCCGCCTGCAGCTGGGTGGGAAGGTGGAGGTGCTCTGGGAGCAGTTCCAGAGGGCCATGCAGAGCTACACGGAGGCCACCGAGCACCAGAAGATTGCTTTTGAGGCACTGAAACAGAAGGACAAGAAGAGCTCCAGGGAGATAGAGATGCAGGCGAAGAAGCTGCAAAAGCTCCAGGTTGCAGCAGGGCGCAGGGGTGGCTGTGGGAGCGGAGACACCCCTATCCCACTGCTCACATTTCGCCTGTCTCTAGGACTTGGTCACAGCCGCCAAGGGCCAGATCGCGGCTCACCTCCGAGAGAGCGAAAAGCAGAACCGGCGTGCACGGGAGGAGAAGGAAAGCGTCCTCAGGCAGCTCCAGGAGCTCAAGAACGAGATGAAGCAGGCCAGGGCTACGGCCCACGGCAGCCTGGCCAGGCTCACCACACAGAGCAGCACTGCCCTGAAGGCTCTGGCGCGGGTGGTGGAGAAGGTGAGGCCAGCAGCCCATGGGCAGGGGAAGCACCAGAGGGGTGCTGCCGTGCCCTCCCACCCTGCCC